ACCTAGACCAGTCCTACATGTCCTCCCTGATTTGGGAATCCAACATGGGTGTGGGGAGGTTTTCCACCATTATCATAGCAGGGGTCATTGTTTGTGGCTCTCTTGGCTGCATTGGGATGATGTCAGCAGAGCTAATCTGACTCCCACAAAGTCCTTTGCTTAGGTGGGTAAATGCTGAATCCTCTCTTCTGGAACAAACCCCAGGTTTCCTGAAGATGCGGGGGAATGGAGGAGGCCCAGGTTGCCCTAAGAGGAGATTTGTGATGGCTGTTGTGTTATAAGGGTGGGATACTGTCTTGGGCCCTGGATTTCCCAGCCCTAAGTTCCTAGCTGCCTATGGCTATCCTCCTACCTCCCTCCTGTGTCATCTCCCCCCCCCCCCACATTTGTTTGGTGCCTGGGCCTATATCCATCACTGGTCTAAGCTGAAGTTAATGGAGTTGCACCTGACTCCTCAGCAGTGAATGTGACCTCATCTAAGGGAACAGGAGGCACGAGAGAAAGGAACTGTATACAGTAGCAGTTGTTCGGAGTATACTGAAGCAGAGAGGATAAGCTGGAGGACCTCACAGGGAGAATGTTAACAGGCTGAAGAGTGGTGTTTGGAAGGGGAGCTTTTTCCTCAGTACCACCTACTGCAGCAGCAGGTAGTTGGGCATCAGCTTGTCAGAAGTTTAAATTTTAAATACACTGACAAGTGATGTCCACAAACAAATGATCAGTCCAGGTCATCTGAAAGGAGACTGACTGTGGCCTATGATTTCCTCTTCTCAGCTCTGATCTCAAAGCCAAAGCCACATACCACTTTTGGCCATGTCTGCACTGCAAGAGTCTATTTCAGTAAAGCTATGCTGGCATAGACTGCTAGTGTAGACAGTGCTCGTGCTGACTGAAGGAGTTCTGCCGCTGCAGTAGCAGCACATCAACTCTGAATGATTTTAGCTAAGCTAACAGACAGGCTCTTCGGTCGGCCTAGTTGCCTCTACACTACTCCATTCCGCTGGCATAGCTAGACTGCCTACAGCAGTGGCGGGCAACCTGTGGCCCATCAGGGTAATCTGCTGGCGGGCTGCGAGACAATGTTTACATTGACAGGTTTCAAAGTAGCAGCCATGTTAGTCTGTATTCACAAAAAGAACAGGAGTACTTGTGGCACCTGAGAGACTAACCAATTTATTTGAGCATAAGCTTTCGTGAGCTACAGCTCATGCTCAAATAAATTGGTTAGTCTCTAAGGTGCCACAAGTCCTCCTTTTCTTTTTGTTTACATTGACTGTCCGCAGGCCCACTACTGGCCTAGAAGGTGTGAATTTTTTCACACTCCTACATGACATGGTTATGCTGGCATAATTTAGTAGTGTAGACCAGTCCTTTCTCAACAGACCTGTTGCAGTAGGTTTGGCAGCCTCCTCCCTGCAACTCCTGCAATCAGCTGGAAGATTCTCCCCTCCCCCTTGCTTTCTGATTCCTTCCCCCCCCACCCCATGGAAATGCAGACTATGTAGAAATTTGGTGTATTTAAGTGTATCTGCCCTTCATTTTCAATATAACTTCATTCTGTTTAAAAAAAATGAATGGGGAAGAAAAGGTCAGGGTCCATAATAGCCCGATATCAGTGTTTTGGGGAAAATTCAGTTTCAAACCTGCTGAATAACATCTTTCAGGGTTTCTTTTTCTGTAGCTCCGTTACCTTCTGCTACTGCCTCCCTGCTTCTACTACAAGAGAACCCTGGCAAATATCCTCACACGTGTTGTTAAATGGGACGCGGCTCCTTTCTTTTACATCATAGGGAAGCAGGAACCCCTTGCCCTTTTTCTGCCTGCAAAATAAGAGTCTCTCTCTCTCTCTGAAGGAAATAGGCCCATATTGTGATGTTATTAATCTTTGCCATAACCCTCACTTTTTTATCTAATCTATGGCTCAGAGGTACAGCAACACTGTATCCTTAAAAAGAAAAGGAGTACTTGTGGCACCTTAGAGACTAACCAATTTATTTGAGCATAAGCTTTCGTGAGCTACAGCTCACTTCATCGGATGCATACTGTGGAATTTATTTGAGCATAAGCTTTCGTGAGCTACAGCTCACTTCACTTCATTTTCCACGGTATGCATCCGATGAAGTGAGCTGTAGCTCACGAAAGCTTATGCTCAAATAAATTGGCTAGTCTCTAAGGTGCCACAAGTACTCCTTTTCTTTTTGCGAATACAGACTAACATGGCTGTTACTCTGAAACTGTATCCTTATTGTTTTTTCTAGTTTTCACACATCATTTATTCTACTCTTTCTTTCCTCCTTTTGTCATTATAACTCTGAACCATTTTCTCCCCCCTTTCTGTTTTCTACTGTGAATCTGTGCCTGCCCCGCCCCCACACAGATTTTCTCTCAGCCTAGGTGCAACCCTCAGTCTTACTTTCTCCCAATCTCTTCTCCCTCAGTTAGTTGTCTCCATTTGTTTTTCTCTTTTCTACTTTCCCTTTAACCCTCAAGGCTCCTGGTCTGGCCAATTTCAGCCTCCTCCCACTGGAGATCCCTGAGGTTCCAGTTCAAGCTGCCAGCAGCTGCGTCCACTGCCTTTCCCCTGTTCTATCTGTGACCTCTGTGGCTCTTCTAAGCGTAGCTCTTATCTGCCTCCTGCAGCCAGCATCTGAGACCGGCTGCCTTAAGGTGGGATTTTTTTCGTAACTTGGCATGCTTCTCTTGCTGGGCAAGTTCAAGGGCCATGTCTGGTTCTGCACTGGCTTGCTTAGCTTGAAAAATGGATGAGTTGAAATTCCAGTAAGGCCATCAGTGTCACTGGCCAAAACTACTACACACCAGCCCATTTTGGGCCCTGCGTACTTGGTAAAGCCAGTAGACTGAATAAGGACCCTATTAAATTTTCTGTATTGTCACCACTGACTGGTTAACTCTTGTAAGAATCTGCCAACATGAAAAGCCTCTGTAGCAAGAATACAGACTTAGCTTCCTTCCAGAAGGAAGTAAGGCTGCTGTAGAGCAATACTCCTATAAACACAGACAACCCTCACAGTTTTATTGTGAATATTGTAATTATTTTCATTAACCCTCCTCACAAACCCTGGAGTTATATGAGCACATCAGAACCTCAGCTTTCATTTTAGTGAAAGTAAATTCCTAGCCATCCTGGGTGTGGAGATAAGCTTGAATATCTGAGCACTAAAGATTCACAAGCCAGAAAGCAAGTAAAAAGAAAAAACACCTCAGTGTGTTGCTTGTCAAATCTCATGCTTTTGGGGGTTTGACTCATGATTTGTTGAATGCTTGGGGCTGGCAATACTGAATGAATGACTCCCCTGCTCGCAGCACTCCCAGGAAGTTTCTTTCTAGTAACTTCAGAAACTTAAGGTACGTCTACATTGAAACATGGGATTTGATTGCAACTTGTGTGAATGTAACTGAGCTAGCTTTAATCTAGAACCTCATGACTGCAGCACAGTCATACTTACTTTATACTACTACTACGGCGTTCTTTATATTACTTTATTTTTCCTTTCCTCTTCACTGTGTAGCTGCAAATAGTTCCCAAACTGGTATCTCCATGAGAACCCCAGGAGTTATAAAATAGATATTCCTGAACTATTTGCAGTTGTTCCAGATAAAGTAGTGATCCATTGCTTCATAAGAGACTACTCTCTGGTCTTCCTGCCCAGCATTATGAAATTGGGAAATATTGCATTTGTCTGCTTTCTGAGCATCTCAAGGGATAGAATTTCTCAGCCCCAAAATAGAATTCTGTTGACCTTGCGAAGGCTTTGCAAAACTGCATTCCTCTGTCTGTATGTAACACCATAAATTTTAAATACCACATCTGACCAATTCCAGGGAATATTCTAGGCATCAGTGTACTGATATACAAGGGAAATTGGAAAACTGAAAGGAGGAAAATGGGGAACATAGAGCCCCTGCCATCTGTTTAGGACAACAGCAGCTTCCACTTTCTCTACAATTGTCTATAAATCAAACTGGTTGAAGGCACCCATTAATATCTTCCAGTATAACAATATCCCATCCCATCTCATTTCTGCTCATCCTTCCAGTAGTTTAACATGTTGACACCCTGAATTACTTATCTCAAAGATGGAAATAAAAATGATGAGGAAAAGGAAATGAGGGATGGGAGCTCTTGGAATGGAAGAATACTGGTATAAGGGAGGGAATGAAACCGAATCCATGGTGGGAGGTAATTTGGGGGACCCTGGTATAGGGGAAATGAGGGTGTACACAGAGTCCCTGCCATGAGGGGAAATGGGTGGGGGGATCACAGAGTTTCTGACATGGACGGGGGATGAGGGCTCACAGAGCCATTTGCATGGAGGGGAGGGAGGGATGGGGACACATAGAGCACCAGGCATGAGGGAGTGGGTGGGGTAAGTTACAGGGAATCCCTGAAATAAAGGGGGATGGGAGGATGGCACCCTGGGAGCTCATGGAGTGAAATGGAGGAATGCCGGTATGTGTGGTCAGCTTGGCCTACTAAAGCTACGTGCAACCACCTTACACAGAAAGCACTAGGACAGTCTAAACAGAGAGGAAGAATAATAATAAGACAAGGCTGGTGTGTTTTCTAGAGATTGTTCCTCTTGATTCTGGTTGATGGGACAACTCTTAAAATACATATATAAAATAATCTTATGTAGCAGTCCTATCGTCTATAGGTTTCTTGCAAATGTGTAATTTATTGTTCTCTGACTCTCCTAGGTCCACAGCAGAATAAGCTCCAGGTTCCTTTTTTCTTAGTGCAATACAGATTTTTTTTTTCATTATCTGTTATTGAATGGAAATGTGGCCTTTTGGTACACTCTGATTTCTGTGGCGAAAATTTGCATTCATTCCATATTCTATATGAATCTTTCTTTCATTGCTCATCTGGGAATGTATTTTTGATGTGCTGAACTAGAAACAAAGCTTGGCACCACTAAGTACTTAATGTCACTAAGTACAAGCCTTAACTGACAAATTTTCCTTCTATTACATAACAGAAACTGGGTCTGCAATTACTGCTTCCTGCATTGGTTTGGGAAACTCAACAACTCCTCCACCAGGACAGGCAGGAAAACCAGTGCCAGGATACAATGGTAAGAGTGTGCAGTGTATATCAATAGGAGAGGAGGTTGCTTGCACTTCTGAGTGAGAGCTCAGCACCTCACAAGATCGGGCCTTAAGATTGCAGTTATCTAGGGCCAAAATTGGCCTCTCCTCCATCAGTTTTGCACCTCTCTGGCTTAACTGGCTACTTAACTGGGTGAATGTCCATGTGACGTTGGGTCAACATAGTAGTTCCTCACCAACATTTCTTTATTTTTCCTTCCTCCCCAGTTTGGCTGGGGAAGAAAACATGATTTCGGAGCTGACACATCCAGGAGATTCAATTGTGTATGTTACCAATTGGCACAGTTTAGAGCAGACCTGATGCTATTCCATGTTGCCCCCTGGAACCAGCCCAGTGCCCTCAGGATTGACTTAAAGCCATTTTCTCTCTCTCTCTCACATGCACACATGCAACTTTTTGACCCATGTCAGGTGCAGAGGCATCAGTTCTTACAATCAGGCTCCAGTATCCAGTACAATTAAAATTACAGCAACCATTTAATCATGTGGGTTTTAATTTATCCTGTATCCCTTGAAGATGCTTGAATTTTCAGGAAGTGCTCAAAAACTCACAAGGTCAGATCCTTAGCAGTCTGCCCTGTTAGCAAAAATTCCTTTCCATCTTTCAGTTGTTAGTCTGACGCATTCCTTGTGCACCCAAAATTTCTCTGGCATACAGTGAGATTTGAAAGTGCACAAGGAATTGACTACTGCAGTTGTCATTGTACTGTTGAGTCTGAAGGTTTGGAATGCCTGCATACAAACGAGCAATGAATATTATGAAATGCTCAGAGCTTCAAACCATAATCTGCAGTAATCTCGTGTTAAATCATAACCAGCAGTGACATTGTTTTTTAGTGGTTAGGAAAAATAGTGTTAATAGTGATCATCTTTATAATTGGTGGAGAGGGAATAGTAGCTAGACTATGTAGCTAAATAGTGCTTTAAGAATGTATTATCATACCTGTAGCTTACATCTATGACTTCATGTGTTGTTCAGAGGCTAAATGGTTTTGCTTGTTGGGCATATACATTGTACATATATGTTTGAGAAACACACTGATCTGATCTTTTTCTCCACAACAATTCAATATAAAAACTCACCTGATTTTAAGTGTATAAAGATGATTCTTCCTGTGAAGTCTGTGACCTCTACAAATATGTAATGATGAACTAAAAAGCAACACAGTAAGGGTATAAATCCTGGCTATTTGTACCTGCCTCACATCCCCATTCGTTTTATCAAAGAAGACAGTGTTTGTGTTCAGACTTGTACAGGGGCTCATATTTGAGAGAGTTGTTAAACACGTTATGTTTCCGTACTTGTTAGGGGGCTTATTCCTTCACCCGCTTACTTCCCTGGTCCTTCTCGCATGAACAGAGAGCAACAATACCCGAAGTCCAAATTTTGCAAAAAATTCAATGTTTATTGGGGTGAACTTCAAACAAGCATGATTCCAGTTTCCTACCACAGTGTCCTCCTTCCCAGCTCTGACACCACAGAGCCTTACCTGTGTCCTTGTTCCCATTCCCCCGCTTAGCAAAACATGATTCCAATTTCCCCACCCCCATTCCCTGTTCCCATCGCCCCCCTTACTTCCTGACTGACTGCAGACTATATAGTAAAACTTGAGTTCTGCTTAGCTATACCTTAACCAATCATTTTCCTGAAATTTGACTAACCAATCCTAATATATTGTAACATGATTATTTAACAAATTATATCCCACCACCTTAATTAGTTTACACGCAGCAAAATTAATTATACAGCAGACAGAAACAATCACAGAACCAGACAGAGATTATACAGACAAACAATAGGGAAATGGGGACTACAATGATAGAACAACACAGAAATGAGGATTTCACATCCCAGCTATCGATAAGTGAGTTCTTGCCAGACAGGATGCTATCAAACTAAGTTTCCTTTTACATTTTCTAGGCACTTCCCTTTCTCTGGAGGTGATAGGCATTATCGGGACAGGATTGTATTCCTAACAGCCCAATAGCTTATGGCTGCTTCTCCTGCTTAGCCAAAGATCTTAGCCTAAGAACAGGGCCTCAGACTGTCACAGTGAGAGAAGGCTTTTACACTGGCAGACAGTGATTTTGATTCTTTCTTTTATATCTCCGTAACTAGCTAAGTGATAAGAATACACCTAAATTCTTAGAGTATAGGCCTTTACAGGCAGGCCTGAATATCTATATCCTAACAAGAAAAGGAGTACTTGTGGTACCTTAGAGACTAACAAATTCATTAGAGCATAAACTTTCGTGAGCTACAGCTCATTTTATCAGATAGCTCATGAAAGCTTATGCTCTAATAAATTTGTTAGTCTCTAAGGTGCCACAAGTACTCCTTTTCTTTTTACGGCTGCTACTCTGAAACCTGTCATTATATCCTAACAGTACTTGTGTAGCATTTTTATTTCTAGCTGTACAAAACTGTAGGCTGTGAACCAGCATAGGGCATAAAAAGTGAGAGCTTTTGTTATTTGGAAGGTGTTTGCATGCAGAGTGCGCAGCCATGAGATTAAGAATTCTAAAATATTTTTATACATGGGATTTATACCTCTGATTATGACCCAGAGTGTTCAGGAATTACTTCAAGAAGGACACATAATTAGATTTTTTTTTTAGGTCAAGCCATCTACAGGAGGAGTGCTCACATTCTTGGGAAGGAGCCGTTGGCTGACTTTTCTTCTAACAAGTAGAAGTGAATATGAACATAAAAAAAACCTTTTCAGCTGCCCTAGACTTTGGCACTAGTAGTTATTGTATGAAGACAAACAATGAATGAAAGAGGAAGTTAGAGAAAAGGCTTAAAGTTTGACCACAGCTCTAATAATCAGGGAACAATTGCAGAATTTAATTGCATGAAACCTGTTCATAAAGCTCTGGTAGTCAGGCTTAGCAAGAATATGTGGGAAGCACATATACAGAGATTTTAAATGAACTCTGCAAAACCTGATGTTAGAGTATTTAAAAGCTTTGTTCTAAATGGATCAGAGGGAATTACAGTAGAACCTCAGACTTACGAATATCAGAGTTACGAACTGATCAGTTAACCAGACACCTCATTTGGAACTGGAAGTATGCAATCAGGCAGCAGCAGAGACCCAAACCAGAAAACCAAAAAAACCCAAATACAGCACAGTACTACGTTAAATGTAAACTACTAAAAACAAATAAAGGGAAAGCAGCATATTGCTTCTGCATAGGAAAGTTTCAAAGCTGCATTAAGTCAATATTCAGTTGTAAACTTTTAAAAGAACAACCATAACGTTTTGTTCAGAGTTGTGAACAACCTCCATTTCTGAGATGTTCGTAACTCTGAGGTTCTACTGTACTTTAAAATGGACGACAAAATGATCACACGTTCAGGTATATTCTGTAAGGGAACAGTCACATTTCCTTTCTAACAAATGGTTCAGGACCACTTACTGGAAAAGTTTACAAATCCTGTAACCCTGCTATTAATGAAATACAGGACCTTGAAATCACTTCTGATTACTATCTCACTTTTCCTCACTTCAGTTGTGTTATGACTCTAGCTGCTGCTACTTTAGCTACTAGTTTGAGATAAATGTTTTATGCCATTTAAAAGATGGGCTGTGTGCTTTTTGATGGTATAAAATTGCATTAGTAGTTCTCTGGACAATGGTTGCTGAAGTCATGATACATTTAAATTGGATTTGGGGAAGTAAAATTGGAAGAAATGCCTTTTCCCCCCAAATGGCCAAATTCTTTCCTGTTATACCATTGTAAATACAGAGTAAAGTAAATTGTGTGAAGTGACTCCAGCTTTACATTGGGGTAAACGATTCAAGATTCAGTGTTGGGTGACGAGGCCAGGCTATGAATGCTGCATACTACTGGAAAACTAATTTAAAACCTGAATTAATTTTTTAATAATATACCTCATTCATTTCTAGCTCTGACATTTTCTGAGATCTGACCTGCTATTTGGTATTGGTCCCTTAGTCTATAAGTTTGTTTGTTATTGATCCAAGACAAAATACAGCAAGTCCTGGATTTGAGGGCGGTAAATACCCTGAATATAGGTTGGTAGCCATGTAATTCAGGAATACCCCTAAACTACTGTTCTTTTTAAAAAAAAAAATCTAAAAATCTTGGAAACCTAAGTACATAGCTTTCAGGAAACAAAATCTAATATGAAAAACTGATGTTAGCGCCTTGATAAACAAATTATATTAAACTGAGGACTCTAATGTATCAAAAAAAAAAGTAAGTTGTTGAAATTGTGGTATGAGTAAGACTATCTCCTCCTACTATATGAGTCCAAGTTCTCCAAGTCTAGCTTGATGGATTTTCTTACGTTACTTGAACAGGTACAAGAAACAAATAGTGTTTACAGAATTTGTAGTCATTGCCCAGGAGAATGGAAGCTTCTTGTTAGCATCCCAAACTTGCCCTCCCTCAAATAGAGGGCACAGGATGACTTCTGAGTTCCTATTCATCCTTCCCAGAACCTTTCTGAGCTTACCTTTTGACTGTCTAATTAACCCTTCGAATTCTTGGGTCTGTATCTGTCCTGATGCCAAGCCTCTGACCCATTGTCTGTGACAGGCTATGCAGGTGTTAAAATCACTGTCCTTTCTGAAGGAGTGGTTTCAGTCAGCAAAGATCAAATTGCAGCAGTCCTGGAGTCTGTGTATTAGGTAAGCCCAATGATACTTCAGAGGTCTGTTGGCAGATGTGGGTATCTCCTCTCTCACCTCAACTTTCTTTCATATTGTCCAAGGTTGTTGTAGCAGGATAGACCTAGCTGGATGTTACTGTTGCAGGTCAGGTCAACCTTGTATTCCCCTACGGGCTCCAGCAAGGGCACCCGCTTTTAGGCTCCCTGTTCCTCAGCTGTCACCTCTCTTGGGCAGAGACCCACATCTTGTTCCCTCCAGTCGTGGTCAGGGTTTTCCAGGCTGCATAGTTCCCTACCTACATTGTGTTATTCCTGGCAAGCCAGACTGCCTAAATAGGCCAGCGTTTACTCTTTGCTTTCTTTTCAGAGGCCGTAAACATCATAATTGCCCATATGTATAAATTACTGCACAGCTCTTCCTAATCAAGCACATTTATTCAAGTGAAAAGCATTACAGAGAAAACATTAAAAACAATAAAGAGTCTACACGCATGCTAATAAGCTTGACAGAGATCACCCCAACTTCAGCAAAGACTGGTAGGAGTCAGTCCTTCAAACCCCGCCAAGGGATTTTCCTGTGGTTAAAACACCTGTAGTTCAGAACAAGCATCCCCATAAAATGGTGAGTCCTTTCTTTAGATATCTTGGATCTTTGATCTTCAGATTCTGGGAGTGGGTAAGCAGTAGACAATGATTTCCTCCTCATGGCATTGCTTCGAAAGGCTGCATTCAACCTCCCCTTTGAGATTCCCCAGGCAAACCACTTGACACTGTCCAAAAGTCCATTCTTGTCTGGCCCATTGTCCTTTGAAGTTCATAACATTTCCCAGGGCTCACAATAATACATTACCTTTGTGTTTAATATAATGGACTCCAAATAAACTTAATTCAATCAGGTTTTTTAAGGATATTGCAGGAAATTGCCGTATCTGTTAGTTACCTCCTCTGCTTGGCCACACTCAAAAAGCTTATGATTTAAAAGGCTTACTATGCCTCTCCTCCCTACCTCCACTTGCTGTTCACATGCATCAACCATTCTTAATGAGGTATCTCTAGCTATTATAAGCCATGCCTCTGAGTAGTTAGTACAGATAAGGGTACCACAGCCCTGGACAACAAGTTATTTGTCATCCTTCCTTTGTTCCCAGGCAGCAAGGATTTGATTCTAATAGATTTCCAAGATAAAGACTGTATCCAAGAGGAGATGCCAGGCTCTGTCCATTGAAACCTAAATTTCCTCTATTGAAATATAACCGAATTACTGAAGATTGTAACAAAGGTTGTGTGGACCATTGAAAAGGGCACTGGAGTTGGTCTCTGGATTCTGTTCCCAGCTATGCCACTGTGTGAGTTTGGGCAAATCAGAAGTCACTTCACTTCACCTCACCTCTCTAAGTATGAAAAACACAATCCTTCCCTGTTGGGATGGTGGTTTCACTATGCAGAGTCTGACAAATCAGAGACAGATCTTGTGCATTTGAAAAACAGAGAGTTTTAGGTCAATCTCTAATAATCTTAGTTATCACTTACTAATATTTCTTGTGGGCTCTTTTTCGTGGGCTCACTGCCCTACTTCTGAAAGGGCTTTTCTTAACTGAAGATTCAGATTTCGCTGTCTGGAGATTTTTTTTCTTTTAATTTTTAGTTTGGGGTTGGTTCTTTTTCATTCAAACCAGGTGCTTCTCCCTCTCAGTTTGTGTGTCGTTAGTTTAAGGCGTAGGGTATTTGTGGTGGGGATGCCAATAGCAATCTTTAACTCCTCTATTTTGGTACCCAGAAATTCTATAATTCCTTTTGTTGTCTGTTCCTGCTCGAAACTGAGTGTGACATAAGTGGGCATTCATCAAATTAAGGTTTATAGACTGAGTGAATTAGTGTGCTGCAAGCCAGGGTATGAATCTACTACGTACTAGCTTCCTGTGTAGACCCTGTTACTGCACACTAGATGTTCCATAGTGCTCTGTATCAGGGTCTACCTAGCTGGTTAGTGCATTGTAGATTCTCACCCTGGCTTGCCTTGCACTAACTCCCCAGGTAGACAAGCTTTTTAGAAATTGTCCTTGTCCATCTGAAAAGTACCATTTGCAAGGGAAAAAATGATCTCTTTCTTTACTTTGCAGTGATGGTTCTGGATGACAACAAGCAACCAGTGAAGGCCAAGACTTTAGGAAATATTGTGGTAAAGTAAGCAAGTCAAAACTTACAAGGTGTCTTATAATTAAGGGGAGCTGCCTTCCATGAAAACTGTTGAGAAGGGCAAACTATTATTTTTTGGGAAAGACCTAAATAGCAGTGGCACATAAAGTAAGGAAGATGAGAGTAGAAGAGCATGGCTGTCTCTGATGTTGATTTTTAGGAATCTCTCACTTTACCCTGCAACACTAATATGGGAGCACTCAACTCACCTGGTACAAAAGGCTTAAAAAAAACCTCTATACTGCTTTTTTTCCTTAATGGCAGCCTTCTTTGCCATGTTTCTTATTTGCCAGCATAAGAACAAGTCTAATTCCTGTGATGCAAGAGAACACTGCCATGTCTCCGACTTCCTCCTGATTCCGTGGAGGTCTTCAGCGTCACAGAATTACATGCTTGATTTCTAGGAGGATAAAGCAATGACTGCTTGCTGCTTCATTGTCTAGCTGGCTCAACCTAAAGCAGCATTTGCAAATTGTTAGGTTTAGAATGATTGTTTCCTCATCCTACTAAAGCAAGAGCCCTTCTGTTATCTGAAAGTGTGGTTTGTATGGAAAAGGTTACTTAGCCCTGGTCTACACTAGGAGTTTAGGTCGAATTTAGCAGCGTTAAATCGATATAAACCTGCACCCGTCCACACGGTGAAGCCCTTTTTTTTGACTTAAAGGGCTCTTAAAATCGATTTCCTTAATCCACCTCTGACAAGTAGATTAGCGCTTAAATCGGCCTTGCCGGGTTGAATTTGGGGTACTGTGGATGCAATTAGCTGGTATTGGCCTCCGGGAGCTATCCCAGAGTGCGCTATTGTGACCGCTCTGGACAGCACTCTCAACTTAGATGCACTGGCCAGGTAGACAGGAAAAGGCCCGCGAACTTTTGAATTTTAATTTCCTGTTTGCATGGTCACCTGCAGCTTGCCACGCTGGCCAGAGCTCATCAGCAGAGGTGACCATGATGGAGTCCCAGAATCGCAAAAGAGCTCCAGCATGGACCGAACGGGAGGTACGGGATCTGATTGCTGTGTGGGGAGAGGAATCCGTGCTATCAGAACTCCTTTGCAGTTTTCGAAATGCCAAAACATTTGTCAAAATCTCCCAGGGCATGAAGGACAGAGGCCATAACAGGGACCCGAAGCAATGCCGCATGAAACTTAAGGAGCTGAGGCAAGCCTACCAGAAACCCAGAGAGGCAAATGGCCACTCTGGGTCAGAGCCCCAAACATGCCACTTCTATGATGAGCTGCATGCCATTTTAGGGGGTTCAGCCACCATGACCCCAGCCGTGTTGTTTGACTCCTTCAGTGGAGATGGAGGCAACACAGAAGCAGGTTTTGGGGACGAGGAAGATGATGATGGTGAAGATGTAGATAGCTCACAGCAAGCAAGCAGAGAAACCGGTTTTCCCGACAGCCAGGAACTGTTTCTTGCCCTGGACCTGGAGGCAGTCCCCCCCGGACCCACCCAAGGCTGCCTCCCGGACCCGCCAGGCGGAGAAGGGACCTCTGGTGAGTGTACCTTTTAAAATACTCTACATGGTTTAAAAGCAAACATGTTTAATGATTAATTTGCCCTGGCATTTGCAGCTCTCCTGGATGTACTCCCAAAGCCTTTGCAAAAGGTTTCTGGGGAGGGCAGCCTTATTCCACCCACCATGGTAGGACACTTTACCAAACCAGGCCAGTAACACATACTCGGGAATCATTGTATAACAAAGCATTGCAGTGTATGTTTGCTGGCATTCAAACAATATCCGTTCTTTATCTCTCTGTGTTATCCTCAGGAGAGTGATATCATTCGTGGTCACCTGGTTGAAATAGGGTGCTTTTCTTAAGGGGACATGCAGAGGTGCCCGTTCCTGCTGGACTGTTTGCCTGTGGCTGAACAGAAATGTTCCCTGCTGTTAGCTTGTGAGGGGCTAGCCACGTGCTGGGGGGAGGCAAAATGCGACCTTGGAACGAAAGCACATGTGCTGTGTATGTAATGTTAACAGCAAGGTTTACCATGAAAGAGTGTAGCCATTGTTTTAGAAAATGTGTCTTTTTAAATACCACAGCCTCTTTTTTTTTTTTTCTCCACCAGCTGCATGTGTTTCAATGATCACAGGATCTTCTCCTTCCCAGAGGCTAGTGAAGATTAGAAGGCGAAAAAAACGCACTCGTGATGAAATGTTCTCTGAGCTCATTGTGTCCTCCCACACTGACATGGCACAGACTACTGCGTGGAGGCAGACAATGTCAGAGTGCAGGAAAGCACAGTATGACTGGGAGGAGAGGTGGCGGGCTGAAGAGAGTAAGTGGCGGGCTGAAGAGAGGGCTGAAGCTCAAATGTGGCAGCAGCGCGATGAGAGGAGGCAGGATTCAATGCTGAGGCTGCTGGAGGATCAAACCAATATGCTCCAGCGTATGGTTGAGCTGCAGGAAAGGCAGCAGGAGCACAGACCGCTGCTACAGCCCCTGTGTAACCAACCGCCCTCCTTCCCAAGTTCCATAGCCTCCTCACCCAAGAACGCGGTGGGGGGGCCTCCGGCCACCCAGCCACTCCACCCCAGAGGATTGCCCAAGCAACAGAAGGCTGGCATTCAATAAGTTTTTAAAGTTTTAAACTTTTAAAGTGCTGTGTGGCCTTGTCCTTCCCTCCTCCATCACCCCTCCTGCTGCTTCTCTTCTCCACCACCCCTCCCGGGCTACCTTAGTAGTTATCCCCCTATTTGTGTGATGAATGAATAAAGAATGCATGAATGTGAAGCAACAATGACTTTATTGCCTCTGACAGCGTTGATCGAAGGGAGGAGGGGAGGGTGGTTAGCTTACAGGGAAGTAGAGTGAACCAAGGGGCGGTGGGTTTCATCATGGAGAAACAAACAGAACTTTCACACCATAGCCTGTCCAGTCATGAAACTGGTTTTCAAAGCTTCTCTGATGCGCACCGCGCCCTCCTGTGCTCTTCTAACCACCCTGGTGTCTGGCTGTGCAAAACCAGCAGCCAGGCGATTTGCCTCAACCTCCCACCCCATCATAAATGTCTCCCCCTTACTCTCACACATATTGTGGAGCGCACAGCAAGCAGTAATAACAGTGGGAATATTGGTTTCGCTGAGGTCTAAGCGAGTCAGTAAACTGCGCCAGCGCGCTTTTAAATGTCCAAATGCACATTCTGCCACCATTCTTCACTTGCTCAGCCTGTAGTTGAACAGCTCCTGAATACTGTCCAGGCTGCCTGTGTATGGCTTCATGAGCCATGGCATTAAGGGGTAGGCTGGGTCCCCAAGGTTACATATAGGCATTTCAACGTCCCCAACGGTTATTTTCTGGTCTGGGAATAAAGTCCCTTCTTGCAGCTTTTGAAACAGTCCAGAGTTCCTGAAGATGCGAGCGTCATGTACCTTTCCTGGCCATCCCACGTTGATGTTGGTGAAACGTCCCTTGTGATCCACCAGTGCTTGCAGCACTATTGAAAAGTACCCCTTGCGGTTTATGTACTCGCCGGCTTGGTGCTCCGGTGCCAAGATAGGGATATGGGTTCCGTCTATGGCCCCACCACAGTTAGGGAATCCCATTGCAGCAAAGCCATCCACTATGACCTGCACATTTCCCAGGGTCACTACCCTTGATATCAGCAGATCTTTGATTGTGTTTGGCTACTTGCATCACAGCAGCCCCCACAGTAGATTTGCCCACTCCAAATTGATTCCCGACTGACCGATAGCTGTCTGGCATTGCAAGCTTCCACAGGGCTATCGCCACTCGCTTCTCAACTGTGAGGGCTGCTTTCATCTTGGTATTCTTGTGCCTCAGGGCAGGGGAAAGCAAGTCACACAGTTCCATAAAAGTGCCCTTACGCATGCGAAAGTTTCGCAACCACTGGGAATCGTCCCAGACCCGCAACACTATGCGGTCCCACCAGTCTGTGCTTGTTTCCGGAGCCCAGAATTGGTGTTCCACTGCATGAACTTGGCCCATTAGCACCATGATGCCCACATTGCCAGGGCCCCTGCTTTGAGAGAAGTATGTGTCCATGTCCTCATCACTCACATTACCGCGCCGATGTCGCCTACTCGCCCAGTATCGCTTCGCTAGGTTCCGGTGCTGCATATACTGCTGGATAATGCGCGTAGTGTTTAATGTGCTCCTAATTGCCAAAGTGATCTGAGCGGGCTCCATGCTTGCCATGGTATCGCGTCTGCACAGAAAAAAGGCGCGGAACGATTGTCTGCCGTTGCCCTGATGGAGGGAGGGGCAACTGACGATATGGCTTACAGGGAATTAAAATCAACAAAGGGGGTGGCTTTGCGAGAAACTGAATGGCCCCCTCAAGGATAGAACTCAAAACCTCAAGGATAGAACTCAAAACTGGGTTTGGCAGGCCATTGATTTCACAGAGGGAAGGAGGAGAAAATGAATACAAAACAAATCTGGTCTATTTCTTGTTTTGAGCCACTTCATCTATCTTTATACATCTTGCTGGCAGCAGACTGTGCAGTACGACCGCTAGCCGTCGTCATCTCCTGGGTGCTCAGCAGAAAACGGTGCAGTATGACGACTAGCCGCCATCTTCTGCTGGCTGGAGGTTAAAAGACAGTGCACTGCCGGTAGGACTGAATCGCCATGAGACAAAACTTAAAAGGGAAATGACCTGGCTGAGTCACTCCCATGTTTGCCCAGGCGCCCGATTAAAAGAGTACCCGGGACTACGTCGATGACGGCTACCAGTCATACTGCACTGTCTGCTGCCAAAAGGCAATTAACTGCTGCTGTGTAGCAATGCAGTACCACATCTGCCAGCACCCAGGAGACATACAGTGACGGTTTGCTGAGCAGGCTCCATGCTTGCCGTGGTATGGCGTCTGCACAGGTAACTCAAGAAAAAAGGCGCAAAACGATTGTCTGCCCCTGCTTTCACGGAGGGAGGGAGGGAATGGGGGCCTGACGATATGTACCCAGAACCACCCGCGACTATGTTTTAGCCCCATCAGGCACTGGGATTTCTACCCAG